AACGGCATTGCAAGTTCAAACACTATCAATCGTTGACCCCGAGTTCCCCACCTCGCAAACTTTGAACTCGATAGATCGACCGAAGTTGCTAAACACTTGAAGAATATTTTCTGGTTTTTGGAGTCCAGTAGAAAGAAAAGATGCGGACGGACTAATCCATACTGAGAGACTCATGAACAGCGACAGGGATAAAAAGTGGCTTACCACACATTCATCGCATCCATGTTGAATAAGAACACCAAATTTGGCTTCAAATGGAACCGGGCAGTGCGAACACACGTAGCATCTGATCGGTTCAGCTAATTCGTTTTTTACTCGTGGAAAAATTTTAAACTTGTCTGGAGTCATAATATGATACAAGAACAATAATTTCATCATTTCGCTTGAGAACACTTTCTCACATAACTTCATAGTTTATTCTTCTTCTTCGTTTTCCTAATTGCGCTGAATATCCATATTTATATTTGTTCATAGTAATCTAAATTCAGTCGTTGTTTTGTATAGGTCGTTACTTGTCACATCCATACTACCTAGTAGTACTGCATTATGGTCACATGCCAGGTTGCATGACCTTCGTGTCTCTCATTCGCAAGACTATTCCTAGTTGCCACTCGGTGTTTTGCGAGTATTATGAAACGTAACTTCTTCGGCATGCGCCCCTTTTAGATTATTGTATGGCAAGTTTGCCTAAAGCCTAACACCTGTTGGACTCAAACAGACAAACACACAGCTGTTAAACGCCACCCATCCTACCATGGAGTTAGTACCGGAATGTTTGTCCAACAGGATAGGTCAACTGATAAAACTCATCCCATTTAGTTATTTCGAAATATCGCTGCTCTTGACGGTCCTACTCTGAATTAGATTAGTGGGACGATGCTAAAACCTAAATCAGAGCTGCCGAAGTAAGGATAGAAAAAACACGAATTTTAGGTTACTTTGATTGCGTAATCGGCTGTGTACTTGTTTGTGACTCAGCATTGATGCCCGAATTATCTGTATCTTTCAATTTCCCATCGGTTAGATTCAAATGTATATTTTATATACATATACATATACATATACTTAGCCAATCAATTGAAGTACTTAATCCAACCGAATCAAGAATTTGTTCGTGCTTGTCGGTGTATACCATGCATTCATCTATGGACCATCACAAGTTTGTCTCATGGAGTAGCGATTGGGGATAGTTCGGCCTTTTCAGTCAATGACCCAAACGTTCACCAAGCTTGACAATGTTGCTGCAAGTACTTCACTATTAATTGGCGGTTTCTTACAGAGGTGCTCCACTTCACAAAAGGCCGCTGATTATGTCAGTTCAACTGGGGGTGTAAGTTTAAAACCTCAGTGAACTACTCACCAACCAACGTTCAGAGCCTGGTTGCAGTTCACGACTCACCCCAAATTTGGGTACAGGCTTTTGGGTTGCCTACGTAGTGGTGCTTCCTATTTTTAGTCAGACTGGGCCGATAGGACCACAATGCCAAAGATTAGACAAGACATTGTGTGATATTTCAGAGAGTATAAAACACCTTAATGAGCTGGATAATGGCGTCCAGTCTAATGTTGCTTTCCAAGCACATCTGGGTCTATGTAACTTCCTCATGAAGATCGTTGAAAATATACTTTGTTTGTATATTTTTCTAAAAACGGATATCAGAAAATGAATACTTAACCTTAATATCCTCTGCCAGATTAGCGTAAAGTGTGGGTGCTCCCTCCCTATTTTGGAGTTTAAAAAAACCGTCAACCGACGATAGTTTTTGAAGAGAGCTGCCTTATGTGGCTGAACATTAGGAATCCATCTTTGTATAACATAAAGTGGACGCAGGACAGGGTGGGGACATCAGTAGCATAAACAAGATAAATAGAAAATAAAAGGTAGACTTGCTTCGATATAACTAAAATTAGATAACAACTTATGTTCAGTTTTCGTCTCCGTGTCTAGAATAGTTTAAGTGTTCCTGCGGAGTATGCGCAAGTTAGCACCACACAATTAACTAATAATTATCACATCTGGTGGAAAATGCTTTGCCAATTACATCAGTGTTCAATTGAAGTTGGGCGCAGAAAGTCAGAAACTTTATTTGTTTTGTTGACTGACGCAGTCAAACAGTGGTAGAAATTCAAATAGAACAGAAACATATTGCTAAAGCAAGCCGAATAAATCGCAATGAGATACATCAGACTAGACAGTGCAGAATTTGGAGCATTTCTTTAATGGAGATGATTCATGCTCAATTCATTGCTCTATTCATTATTCTGTTGTCTTGATGTTTCAAGCGCTGTGCTCACGCAGCAATTAGAAACATACGTGCTACTTTTTACGCCGTGCGACTTCTGAATTTCTAGTTTGTCTGGTTATATCGATGTACGCGCTGAACTCAATAGCTTTTGGACTAGTCGAAGGGCACATTCAGCTTAATAAAATGCGGCTTTCCAGTATCAAGTCCAAGCAATTTTTAGGTTTAATTGCGGGGTCACAGGTAAAATCCGAGTTCGAAATTTCGTTGTTATGATCACATCATCTGTAAAATTCTACTTTGCGGATAACAACAAACTTATTGAGACACAACCAGTTCCTCCTATTGACTAACTTCAGTCTATAATCAAATGATCGTCAGGAGGCAATTTTTCTGTACACTGTGAGGAGAGGTTGAGAGCGGTTACCAAACCATGACGGTCAACCTAACAAAAATCTCAGTGATTTATATGCACTTGTTAACCAGGTTAAGAAGCTTTGTAAAGGGCAAATAATGAAAAATTTGGACACTTTCAACTATCACAGCAAGAGGCAAGGCGTGACTAATCCATTAAGGGGTACGTTTCGGTACTAAAAGAAATGAAGGGTAAAATTGTGTGAACACACGAGTGTAAGACTGGGAAGGGGCAGAATAATCCTATGAATTTAAGGTTGGGTCAACACCAAGGATTTGATGAAATGTTGGAAGTTTTCCTCGGACCGATATATCATAACTTACAATAGCAAGGAGGTTGCTGTGAGTCAAACGAGATTCTAGACCCCAAGTAAAATAACAGTCAATTTAGGTGCTATTGAATCTGGGAATACTCGAACGTGCAGTGGCTGTAGAAAATGGACGCGTTTCGATATACACGTTGCACACAATGACCGGCGAAAAATATTTCGGCAATTTAGCCTGGAAATGGCCGCATGCACACTTCTGGCCTTGGATGCGTGTCGTGCTCTATGAAGCTTGTGACAAGCTACAAGCGAGATAACGTGGACAGGAGCAAAGTGGGCTCAAAGGTCTCACGAAACTCATTTTGAGAGTACCAACGTTTAATTCATGTTACCAAATTAAGGTCTGTACTTCAATCATCCTTCGCCAACAGGCATCTCAAAAAGCGCTTTCTTTGGATGACCGCCGCTGAATATACGTATTACCTGCCACAATCAACTGAACAGTATAAGTTTATTGTGCTGCTACAAATACTTGGATTCGTTACCAGCCAACCGCTTGCACAACACTTTGAAATTTATTCACTGCAGTCAGATAACACTTGTTGCGCCATGTAGAAGCCTCCTAAAGTAAGATGGAAGACGCCCATTCCTCATTTGTTTTGGAGTGGCCAGGTCTCACAAACACGGAGTGAGATAGCTCTAGCATTCACCTTCTGTACACCGTTCTATAGCTTCCGACAATTTCGGTTCTAACAGGAGAAACAACGAAAATTGACGAAAGCTTTGAATATTCATGCATCACCTTCAGAGGGTACAGTGCGACCACGACTTATGCAACTGCCGGGCTAGCAAACTTATCAAGAACATCACAGCGGTTATTCTGGAGTTTCAGAAAATTACAACGAGATCGGAAACATTAAACTAAGACCCAAAACTTTGATTTAGTAAAACGACCAACGATGGGGTCACCTCTGAAGCTCCGATTACCTTACATGTGTGGCAAAACATTCATCAAGCCGCAACGCTTTGTCGTCCGCTTCTCATTGAGTCAAACGCTACTCGATATTCGGTTGGACAGATGTGTTTGACTGCGTGAAAACGGGCAATGTTGTTTTTTACTTTGAAAGGTCATTGAGTGATCCACAAGGATTCTCTCATGACTAAAACCTCTCTGGTTCAACTTTTTTTGTTAAAGCCCAGTTCCGGGAAACTCTGGAACTGGAAAGCGCGCAAATGTTGATAGTATTATCAGTCTGGTCCATTACGCAATAGTTATCATAAAAATTTCATCGCTCTTTGTCTAGGATCGTTAGTAATACTCAGGTTTCTCAAACGTTCAGGTGGATTTTCGAAATCTTAAGGTTGAACAAAAATGTGTGAAGTTTATTGAACCATTCGTAAGCTTCCCAAAAGCTTATTGACAGCTCACAACCCTATGGCTTCTTGGTTCTCGATAGACAAATGTAGTCCCCGGTAGTGGGTTGTGGAACAGTTTTCAGCAAAAGTCCGAGTGGTGTGTTACGTCACGAAGACGTTACGAACACGAAGCGTCCTGGGACAACATAGCTATTTGGGTTAGATCAACACAAAACCGAAAACTTATCTGCGAGTCTGCAGTCAAAACCAAGTCGGTGTGCACTTTGGTGTATAAGTCGAACCACGGAAAGATGTTTGTTCCATAGCGATTTCCCAAGCCTTATAGAGCTCATGTCCATGGATATTTCGTTGTTCAGAGGGAGGATGAAGTTCGCCCGATCAGTGAAAAACACTCCTCGGAATCTGTCAACTGATGACCACGTTGTGGTTATCAAAACTTAAGGATGGATACTGTCACACCTCCTTCAAGTGCCAGTCGATTACAATGACTAACAGCAACCGGGGACCAGAACGTTTAGTGTTCAAACTACTAACCGGGATGTCGCAGGTTGGACAGCTTCCTGAGTTTGGTTGGTGGCACATTGCTGATGACTCACAATAAGGGTGAAACAGATGACGGGGATTTCCGGCCTTCTAGCATAGACTGGCTTCATCTACCCGACAACAACTAGAATTTTCCCAATATTATCACACTATCCAGGGTGTGACAAGGACCACAACCAACTCGAGCCGGTCAAAAACTGCCGGGCTGGATTTCCGCTTGGCTGGCTCCATCGATCCACGAAGCCAGAACAGTCTCAGGGACGTGATTTGGGCCGTCTGGCTGAGGAATCTCAGTGCTCTTCGTAAATCCGTTATCCTAAGTATTTGTGATAATTCAGGTCTCATGCAAGATGCACCGGTGTATTAGTAGTAGTAGTAGTTGTAGTAGTCCATGGTGAATGTGTGAACACCAAGGAGGATCTGGTGGCTACTTGGGGTGATAGCCTGCACAACAGCGTTTACGGTCGCGGGTTACGAGAGTTGGTCGCTTCGCCTCTCTCGAATTCATGGCTCGTGTTTCGGGAACGAGCGTTTTCTCGGATATTTATCCGCGGTATCCAGCTCCGATGCAAACTGCTCAGGACGAGGGTTAGAAGCGCTCAACATTGTCATGGTGGCCAAACGATCTTATGTCCTGGAAACTGTGACCAACCGGAGAGTTTGGTGCATATTTTGCAACCCTGCTGGATTGCGCATGATGCCGGGTGTGCTAGTCATAATGGGGTTGCAAGGGAACCGACAAAACGTCTCCGTCGTCTGGGATACACCATCCTCAAGGAGTTGAGAGCACGTGCTTCGACGTCCTTCATCAAACCAGACATGATCGCTGTTTGAGATCGCCGTGCAACTGTGATAGACGTCAGCATAGTCTCGGATAGGCGTGGAGTGACTTTGTGGAATGAGAAGCAGAAGTATGGTGCTGATGAATGTTTTCTCCATAATCTCAGCCCTACATGCCATTGGTTGTGATGTCGACTGTTTGGTTAACCAACCGATGATCATATCTTATCGAGGGATTTGCTTTCCTCAATCCGCTAAGGCTGTTATTGGACTGGGACTTCCTAAGGCCGCAGTCAGTGACTTGTGTTTGCTTGCTACTGAGGGCTCTCTGCGTACTTATGACCCTTTTATACGTGGCACATGGCGCTGAATGTACATTATTGCCATTTAATCGCATACCAGACCCAGTATGACGGACACTTTGTGCCTGATGTGCGAGTCTTGACTGTGCTAGTGCCTACCGCGCCCTGAAGATCATTCAACATAGTTCGTCCTTCCTTCGGTTGTTGGTCTTTAGACGCGTGTTCCATACCAAAATCTTTACATAATTTGGGTTCCACCTCATCAGACTGGAACTGTTCTTTGCATGATTTCGAATGAGACGTTTCTCTCTTTTCTCCCATATTCTCCTGTTACTCTTTCGCATTAATCGACTGCATTCACTTTTTATGTTTGTGACCATGATCTTAAAAAATAAATGATAATAGTAGTCGGCGAGCTGAACCACCTCCACGTCGTGCCGACCGGGAAGCCTGGACGTCAGTCTGAGTGAGCTAATTGTTCAGCAAATCCAGACAGGGATAACCACTCCGTTTAGTTTCAATGTGCTGGTTACTTTCGACAACGTTTACCATAAATCATCTGGCGCCCCCGCATCAGTTCCAACCAGTACACAGGAGAGCCTCGTTGGGTTCACGTGTGAGAAAATGTGGCAAGTGCTGCAAATCGAAAGCAGGCTTGGTAGCCCACCATCGAGTTCACGACAATGAAAGTGTTGGTACGAACACGGTTGCCCATTTGGACTGCGCTGATTGTTCCCGCTTTTTCAGACGAAGATTGGCCTAAGTCCATACCGCTGGCACACACACCACACCCAGCATAATGCGGATAAGCTTGGCCGAGTGAAGTATTCCGGTACCCTCTGGCCCCTGAAGAGTCGCAATCGCTCCTACGCCTGTCTAACAGTTTATATCCATCTTGTAGCATGCGCACCGAGCTGTTCTTGAGATTGGAGTAGTGTATTCTTGGTCGACCGGCTATCAGCATCAAAATCAGGTTACAGGTGCCTAAGTGGCAAGCATAGCAGGACGAATCATCATCTGATGGACCCGACCAGACTATCGGTCAAATGACGGCCTACTCATCAGAAGCCGATGACTACAGCCTCTGGTTTAAACAAACCGTGGATTGCCCGTGTCACTTTCAGAATCCCATACTGACCCTGACTCCCTCTTCTGCCATGTTCTCCTGTTATAGTTTCGCATTAACCGCTTTCGTTCACTTTTTATATTGTGAGCATGCTCCACAAAAATAAATGATGATGGTATTAGCGAAATTTCCATTTTCCTCTGAAAACATAGTTTCAAAGTACTAAGTCGAAGGAAGGTAGGCAACCTATGGTTAATGTTGGATGGAGAACATGGCAACATACGACTACAATTACCGGGATGGGCAGTAACTGTCTGCCAACAAGCAGGTCGGAATTTTGCCTGCCAATTGGAAAGAAGGACTGGAATTTTTTATCATACGTGATTGCTCACAGTAGAATGGAAGTGGAAGTGAACATCTTGGGCAACATACAGGCAAGTTACCGCTTATGTAGGTTATCAATTTGCTCAGTGCGTTGGGAAACGGTGGGTTTGAATTTTGTGGAAACCTCCTAAGACGTGGGATGGTGAGTAACTTGCCAAAGGTTATTTAAGCTTCGGAAATTTAAAGACGTTCTCGATACGTCACACTTCATAGGAAAATGATTCTTGATTCGTTCCTACAGAGAAAACCTAAAGCGTGCAACCCCGTGTTACTTTCATTCCGCTTCGAGAAATTCGGCGAAGGACGCGTGTTCTTGCTTGAAGAAGAAAACGTAAGAAGCTTTACAAACACTTGTCTAGGAGGTTCGTTTAGGTGAGAGCAAGTGAGTTATTGTAATTTACTTTGCGTAGAAAACTACGGACTTGTTAACGTGGCGACTGCTCTCCAGTGAAAATTGACATCTTTCAATGAGGTAGTTTACGGGTATGCGGAAGACGATTGTGATTAATTGTCATAATCTCGGGGACAACCATTATTTCCGTTGCTTGGTGTCTCGCCCTCACCTAATTGGACCAGAGAAATAAGATGAGCACGGCGAGGACGACCTCATGGTCGGAATTCACATATGTTTTCCAAAACCAGCGACGGTTAGTTTTTGATCCAACGGCGACACAAATGAGAATTCGGTACGACAAAGTGTCGAGCTTTTGCATCCAAATCTCCGTCAACCGCAACGGTATCCAAGCCGTTAACCAGCCATATCAGATTCACGGCCGGTATATGCGTAAACAGAATGGGTGAACAGATATCACTTTAAGTATTCCTTCGCCGCGCACCAGCGACCATCCTCGAGGATCCAGTCGAGGAAGAATCCTTTAGCGCAATAAACGAAGGCGACTCAGCTCCTTCCACATTCTGCCCCAGTGGAGTCTGAATCGCAGGAGATATACAGGCACAAGCTATTTGTGATTGATGGGAAGACTGTGTCAGTGAATGCAAATGGATCATGAGCTCGTGTTCCTGATGCGCAACACATATCGTTAAGAAGGGAATGCAATGTAAAACTAAGAGCTTGCTTCAGATTGGAAAAAAATGGAAGCATTTGAATAGACTTGGGATTGATGCGGAAGATTCATAAGGATTGATATGACGGAGGCGGTCGGCAGCGGTTGATCGGAATAAGTTACGGTCATGGGCAATACAGTGCGCCCGGGGCCATCAATTCCAATATATCAGCCGGAAGGAAACCGTTGGAATTACCAGGCTTGGGCTTTCCTTATTTTTATACAGCAGCTAGGAGACGTTGCCGATGATGCTACGTGACCAAAAATGATGCATAGCACAGATTTGTTTTTGTTAAATCCGTAGCAGAGGCAAGCTGGGATAAGTCTGGGATGCCTAGATAGGATGCAGTTAGGGTCATCAGCCAGAACCTTTGTTTCAAATGTCTGATCACAATATATGTGTCCCGCGGACAGTGTTACTGCATCACACCTTTCAAAGTACCAGTCACAACACACGTTCCGATCAAAATGCAACGAAGGCTGGAGAAACATGGGGTCATGCTGGTCATTCCTCCAATCACTGGATTAAAACATTTAATGGTTCAAAAGTATGAATTGTTGTCTGTGCACATAAACACATGGTAATAGAGAATAGGCATATTATTAGCAAGGTTTAGATTATCCACGGAAAAAAATCATAAATTTGCATTTGGTTGTCTCTGACGTGATATCACACATTTGTCCCGAATCAGCGGCCGGTCTCCTTAACGATCTACTGCTGACGCACTGGATGAATTCATTATTTTGTTGGAGCGATAATTTGGTAATCCTAGGAGATGAAATACCTAAACTCTCCAAATATTCAAAACCCCCAACCTTGTTCGAAATGAGGCAGTAAATTTACGCCTGAGTTTTCTAAGCTTCCATTCCCAACAATGAATTTTTCCGTAGACGTTCAACTTGTGATCAGGAAATCCATAGCAAAGCCGCCCGTGGACCTTACGTTGTGACCGCACCGAGAATCAGACAAGTATGTTCCAATTACTTCGGTATTTTTTAGTGAACTAAGATTGTAGGAGAAAGACGTATGTTGAATTATCAAGAGAACCTTACACATGTCGGAAATTAGACAAACCTATATGTGGCTAGGTGTACGGAATTTTCATGGATTTCGTGAAAGATTCAAAGGAACAAAATGTTATCATACTAACAAAATCAGATGTGAGGCAGACAGTCCATCAGCAAAGATGTTTGTGATCAGAGGACCGCGCATGTAATCTTCCCATTAACCGAAGTTTTCTCCGACTAACTCCCAATTGCTGGTCGCAGTCCCCGAGTTTCCATCTAGCTTATGTTCTACGTGATAACAAATTGCAAGAAATCAGCGAATATACACTCGGATTTCGGGTGCGTCTCTCGAAAAATCAAAGTATTTCGCAAATAAGTGTATCTTCGCTAATTTCCTGCCATTTGGTTTAAAGAAGAACATAAGTTTGACGGAAACTGGGGGACTGCGCCTACCTGATGAGCCCCAAAAAGGCCAAAAGCGGTCGTGGGCTGTCGACGATGTTTCTGCAACCTTATTGTAGCGCCTGAAAATGAGGCGGCCTAATACAGCACATACAGTTGCCTGGACACATCAAAAACCAAAAAGTTAGAGGGAACTGAATCACACCTTAAGTCCTCTGTTGCTGTTGTCCAGTTGAAAGTCCTAATAAACAGTGGTTATACTCTATTCAAGTCATGCCGTGGCCTTAGTAACTGGATCGCTATTGAATGGGAAGCAATCGGCCTCTTAAGTCCGCTGAATCCAAAAGCATGCTGATTACATGTGTTATTTTTAACATTTTACGATGATCATTTTACAGATGTTCATCCCTCTGTTCGGAGTCGAATCTTATGGACGCCTGTATACTCCATTCGGTGTTTTATCCGTTCACCCAAACTGGCAGGTTTTGCGCATACATTTCGTTGTTACGAGAGCGAACCGTAGTACACAGTATAAATTTGGCTTTTGCTCGGTGGCTAATCAAAATTTAGCCAGCTAACTGCCAAACTTGGGAACTGATTAAACCGCCTGGTCAACAAAAATTGGACACACGTCAGGTTATGTTTTACGTGCATACTGTCAAACTATCCTTCTTGTCCACCAAAAAAAATTTGGGACGTTTAGGTCAAAACGTCAAAAGATGTACGCATATTATTTCTCTTCTTTAGATGAATTGACATCGCCTGATATTTGGGTTCGGTTATCACAGTGAAAATTTACTGACCGAGATTTGCGTGGTTTGTACCGGAACTCTGCACCCGGACATCTCCTGTCTAGATTTGGGCAACGTGGCAGTATCCATGCCCGCGTGCTTCCTTCGGGTGGCACAGCAGCTGAGCACCGAACATGGTTGAAAATTTTCAAGCATGTCAAGCTAGACGCATCCAAAGTATGACGTTTGAGTGGACACGATTACATGCCATAAGATGGACTTTCAAATTATTTTTCCCGTCGAAGAGTAAGAGAAAAGCTGGCAAAAGTCAACCAACGTCAACCAGTGTAGAGGTTTGTGTGCGTTGGAATTAAAATCCATGGCAATTTTGAACTCGTCCGAAGAGTCCGTGCGTCTCTCCAGGGGAATCTGAATTCCAGATAATTGCGACGAGTTCCAAAGTCTCATAGTAAATCGTTCGGAAAAACACGATAATAGTGCTAGTTCTTGTTACACGATCCACTAAATCTCATTCCATGTGTCATTCTGATTTGAGGGTTTGCTGTTTTCTTAAAACAAATGCGTTTATTTGATGCTGTTCTAGTGGGTAGTGCACTTTGTATACAAGTTGGTTGTAGTTACTAGAGCTTAAAGAGTAAAATAGGTCATTCAGCCAACTTACTGGATGCTTATGCATATCTAATGAGTAATGAAATATGTGGACGAACGTGTAAAGAATGTCATCATGATCTAAACAGATAGCTATTATTAGCAATCACTGAATCTGAACCAAATTCACGGCAATGTTTTTTCCGAGCATTTGGCGGCGTACATTGATTCAGCACTGAGGGCTCATCAGTTTCCCTCTCGATCGTTATTCTTTGTAATTGTTAATTGATCATAAAAGTTGGGGGCGAAGGCTTAAAGGCAATTTCACTCTCGCGGGTCTTTTATCCAAACCTCACTTGTTTCATTGGTGTCCATAGATGGCCGGTATTTGATTAATTGTCTAGTGCATTCATCCGGTTGCATCTGTTGAATTTCAAAGACCCCACGTCAGTGGTATTCTCGCTTTAACTACATTTTCAATGCGTCAGGAAGTAACACAAGTACCGTTTTGTGGTACACCGGAAGAATTTGATTTGGTGGCACGATCGTTTACTCGTTTACCATGCGTTTTGTATTGGCCACTTGGAGACCAGAACCATCACGACAGTAATGGATGAAATCAGACATTTAGGCAGGCAGTAAAAGACGTCCACACTACACTCCTCCTGGCCTGTTGTAATCGGTGATCAAATAGTTAGCGTTTTCAAATGGTCGATTATCTTACCCACCCAGCGAGGCCTTTGTGTTAACTAACCTGGTTGTTTTTCCTACATTATCGTCGTTCCGCCTGTAGTCTCAGGAGGAATTTAATCCAGTTAACACTTGATTTAACACATTGATTTTCTATATTGGACATTTTTTTCGGATTTATGGGTGTTATGGGGTTGTTGAAGACTCTTCAGTAAAACAAAGTCGGACTATTCCCCGTTAATTTTCACCTGAGGCGGGCAGTCCCAGACTTTACGCCATCTTTTTTGTTACACTATGAAGAACTCCATACAGTCCGCGAAGTTAGTTCATTTCATATCACCGTAGAACTCAACCAAAAACCCAGCTGGGCCGTTGTTGATGATATTTCTCAGCTAGTGATACTGATCAGTGCTTGTTATGTATATGTTGTGTGAATGAATGTTGAGGATTGCTTCTAGTTTGGATCCACGTAGATATCAGATTGATGACATTTCCGGATCTCCCCAAAAAGCACAAAAGGAGCCGTGAGCTCTCAAACTGCTTTCAGCAACATTCTGTTGAGTACCTATACAGCTGTGTATGGAATACCACTCCAAACAAACCATTGTGCGATGTTTTTGCAGGAACTCTCAGCACTTCTCAGCAGCCTATTAGCGATGAATTCTTCGGCTGGAATTTATTTGAATCTCCTGTCTAAACCAATTTATTTTACAAGTGAGGGTATTTGGGATTTCATGGTCAAGACGCTTTAAATCGTCAATGTTAGCCACGCTGTCATTTAAGCACCTATCCAAAATTAGTAACTAGTGTGCGTTTGAATTGAATGCATAACCAGAACAACCACTATTGAATGTACGCCATACCCAAATATATCAACTACGTTGATTCTGGTGAAAAACATAAGCTTTCAACATCATATCACACCCACAGTCTGATTTCAGCGAAATTCATATTCCCAATTCAGTTAGATTTTCAGATGTTTAACCGAGCCTTATTGCACCATCGGAACCTAGGTACGTTTACGTGGTATATATTCACGTTTCGGAAGGCAGGATAGTAAAAAAATCTAAACATCCGTCCCCATCACCAAAATAATACATGCTAAACTCCTATCCGGCACGCCCATTTCCAGGCTATCTAGGGAAGACATTTTATTTAAACAGCAATTATATGATATTATGGTGAACGTGGAATTTAATTTGAGCCCGTTCACAGCTATCAGATCCATTCCTACGAATTGTTTATTATGGTCTATCCATTGCTATAACCCATTTTGTCTATGAGCCCCGTCAAGACGATTCCGACGAAAATGATTACACACATTAACCAAAAGTTACTCATTAGCGGTAAATTGTAGCACATATGTTGACGCACACTCTGATGATTGAAATTGACACAAATTATTACACAGTGCCTGTGATTCGAATCAAGGACTCTCAATGGCTTAACTCGAGTAGGCGCAAGGTATTTTTGCAACGCATGGTGTGCAGCGCATGGGTGCAGCGCATGGTGTGAAATCAGAATTTGTCAGCGCTTAGCGTCCTTTCATGCGCAATAATAAAGTCAATAACAAAGATGACGCGATGTGCTTCGAACCTATGCCGTTGAGTATGTGCATACTAAAATCTTCATGACTAATCGGTGTACGGGCTTCTCATTTACAAGTACATCGACAGATCATTGATTACCCTTGAGATACTCCACCAACTGAAGACACGCTTATGTTATCAATCAGCACAAACTGGCGTTCTGTTTGCCACAACAGACAACGCAAAATTCTACCAGTGATTCCAATCAAGTTGTGACACCCTTGCTAATTTAGTTAGCATGCTTCGCGTCTATTGCCCTCTTGATGATTGAGTAAACTTCAAGTGGTTTCAAAAATCATGAAACTGATGTTACAATGCCACTTGGGGTAGTAGAATGATTTCAAAGACTAGAAGTTGTCTATCACTTAGCAATTTTATGGGCCATTTAGATGTGTTACGTATCATCTAATCACATGACTGAATGCACGGAATGATCATCCTACTGTCATAGTTCAGAGGTCAGAATGCGCAGCATTCCGAACCATTAAGAATCTAAATAGCTGTTATCTGCAATTTGTGGCCATGATCAAAATACTGAAAAGGCCTCAGATCGTGAGCTGGTAAACAGTATTCAGACAATGCATTAGTTATTTCCCGTGCGAGAATCTGTTGCAGTATCTCGAATGTCGGACCAAACGAAACATGAAACGGCCTATGTGCGGCACATCCAGTTGAACATAACATAAACCAAAAGAACTAGGATGAGGTTCTCGTGCTACCACTTTGTCATCTGTAAAGAAATTACTGTCACTTTGTCCAAGTTTATTCGATGCTGCTCTCCCTGGTGGTGCAATATTCATTCCTGTTTTTGTTGAGATTTTTGGATTGTAGACAACTGCATGCCCGACTTCTTCGCTCTCGTCAAAGGAAACTTTAAAACACCAATTTGATATTAAGGACTATTTCTGCCGCTGTTATTACAACTTCACTCTCAGTGAAGTTTGTTACAGATTCTGACTGAACAAACATCATCTCAATTCACGGGGTCTCGAGAGAAACGTCACCTGTGGTGGTAGAATGATTTGGAATATTGCATTTGAATCACCTTGATGTTGACGTATAAAAATGTAACACCGAGATGATTCGGCAAAAAAACTATTTGGAAACAAAATTGTCCTGTAAGCAGGGCATCTGTCACATAGTTCTACCTCAAATATTGAAGCAAAGTGCACTTGTGATAACAAGCAAGATTTTCGATTCTCGCTGGTTGGCGTAGCTCAATTTAACATAAAAAACACATCTGGTACGCGAAAAGGAGGATTTAACAGCAGATTTGCAGTATTTTGAAGAAATATAGGCTGTTGCTTCACATCGCAGAAACACACGAATATAACCAAATCAACATCGAACACTTGGCAACACCTTTTCGCGTGTATGTTTCGACAATGTGAGCTAGGATTGTGTTATTACTGAGAGGCTTTGGCGTTGGGACAACATCACACTGAAACACAGCATTGTCTGTCGTGGAATTATGTTTGATATCAAAGAAGCCAGAATATAAATGCGCGTACCCACAGCAATGTCCACACACTGCATGGTCAGGGCAATTTCGGGTCTCGCTCCCATGTTTAATTTCCCGGCTGGATGTCAGTCTTCTTTTGAAACTCAAATACTCCTTTGTTATTGGTCATTGAGGACCTCTCTGAATGTCATTCTGGTCATGTTTCTATTATTCCATAGCCCCTCCTGCATAAATCATTTCTGTGCTTGGCGTAATCGTTACTTCGTTGAGCATAATCCTTTTATGCACATTAGGATGATCTCATTCCTCTATTGTATGCCTTGACAGACTAGGAGGCTTGGAGTTTATCTGTGACAAGCTGGCCGGGTTTGGCCTTGGAATTGTCTTGATGGCGTCCATCGACGAATTCGGGTTATAGCAATCAATAAACGACAATAAACAACCCACAAAAATGAATCAGATAGACATGAACAGCCTCCAATCAGACGCAGTCTGCATAGTTTAATTTTAAGTCTACACTAATATCCTATAATTGTTGTTTCAATCCAAGGGAACAAAGTGAAAAGCAGCGCTTGTTTTCAGACACTGGTCTGCACTTTGCGAGAAGGATTCAGCCAATTTATTATTACCCTCGAAAATAGCTTCGTGAATATGGTCTCGTTAGAATGTGAAAAATGTCTCTTTACTGAGCAAAACTGTTCACCATATTTTCTGTATATTGTATAACACCGGTATATAGACCAGTATAGACTCACAGTACGTCCCATAATTTGATGGAATAAGTACGGGCCATGGGGCCCCACTTTATTATCCAGTTCCTAAAACACCACGACCTCGTGTCTTACCACCATAAACAAAAGCCAGCCAACGTACCAAGGAGCTATCGGGTTGACCAATGTCTAGGTAGGGCTGACTGGTTTTTGTGTGGCTTTTAGGAAACTAGTCCCGAAATATTGGACCCCCACTGTACGGTTTGTAATTTTGTCCACGAGTTTAGTGATGGTACTTGTCAGAGAGGGTTTCTTTTAAAGTATTTGTCTTACGGTGGGCTGCAGCTCCTTGCTTGCAGCACAAATACCCTTCCTTCAGCGATACTGCTGAAAGTGTTGCACATCCACATGTGTTTACACAAATTGATCAGAACGCCCAGAATTGCTTCTTACTGACGTGTAGTACCATAAGTTATGTAGTGGCTGCTTGCCTAGGAGGATAAACAAATGCAAATGACGCAGTAAGCGTTTCCGAATTTATAACGGGGAAGCAATGGAATATGAACTCGGCAGAGCAACGCTGTCCGGACTTTCGCTCAAATATAATTCCTACTTGCAGTTATGATGGATGAAACGTAAGATTGAATTCATTTCATACTGAGATATTTCTTCAGCCAATGCACCAGAATGATACGCTAATGATAATCACCCCGATCAGATTCGCCTGGATCGCCTGGATCAAAGATTACGGAGGCGAGCGTGTGGTAAGTCGTTTTTGAAACATTCGTGTGGTTCTTAGGTCCGTGAACCTCCCACGTGCACTCAGATTCTCACGTGCAGTCTTCCATAACTTCTGTGGTCGAACTTAGCAAAATCCTTGTGCAACTTTGTCTACAAGCAAGAGAAGCTAAATTTATTAAAAACCATTTTGCTGTAGCTCTCCATCTATCATTTAAGTACTTCTGACATGGAAGTAAAATCTTGCACACGGAATAAACAACTGTTTTTTAGTATCCCTTCAGATGGAGTAGACGCAAAATGAATGCATGTGCATAGGCTCAAATTTTGTTCACTCAGTATTGCCTGAGTTTGCTATAGTCTTCACCCAAGCCTGAAAAACCTCACATTTTGATATCAGATTTTCAGATTTGGCTTACAATTATAAAACATTTCGCTATTCCATCTGTGGAGATTTTTGTCAAAATCTCCAGAGTATACAATCTTGGGTCACATTATGAAATTACTTTTCATCATATCAGCTTTACGCTCAAGATCACAAACGGTGGAAGGATGTAGCTTCTATTCATAGGTGCCGAAATTAATACAATATTTTGCGAGGATATACACAGCCGCCTGGGAGTCCGGGATGAATTGATAAGGAAATATTCCATGTTGTGGATCAAGAGTAAATGTACCACAAACACGTATAAAGGTCACTCTATGTTGGTTGTAAAAACCATAGTGCTACTTGTGGCAAACCATCTATCTTATGTGCGGTCGCTGAACTGAAACATAATAAATATATATAATATAATAGTATAAAAAAAATAATACTAATATATAATATAATAACATAACATAATATAATTGAAATATAATAGATTGTAATGCCAGAACGAATTTTATGCCAAACAATTTATGGTGGAGTTGCGCCAATTCTGTGTCCATTGTTATATTAACCAAATGAAATTTCCAGCCTTCCAATATAGTGCTTATGCAAACCTTGTGACATCACGTAACACATGAGGATCAGCATCCTTCAGTAACACAGTAAAGTGCCTGACCCTCATTAGCAATGATATAATCTTGCTATTTAAACACTTGAATCATGTGGGTTAGAAGCAGGCGAAATCAAAGAAACGTGGGCGGATTTGTCACCGTTTCATTTCAGGCCCATACATTTACTTGAACAATTGTGGCCCGGGTAGCCACTTGGTGAGTCACATGGACAAACAGACCAGATGAAAAATCCAGTTGGCTCCCACTGTGTATTTGCACGTGCTACCGGTTTTGTATAATGTCGAATATCTTTGAAAAAATGCCGAACAATATAAACAGCCACGTACGGGATTTTGTTGCGAAATTAACACACTGGCGTCCTGGGGCGGGTGCGAATTTGCCGCCTCCTCAGTAGTACTAGTGTGAACCGGCTAAACATTGTATAATAGTATAAAATAAAAATATAATACTAATATATAATATAATAACATAACATAATATAATTGAAATATAATAGATTGTAATGCCAGAACGAATTTTATGCCAAACAATTTATGGTGGAGTTGCGCCAATTCTGTGTCCATTGTTATATTAACCAAATGAAATTTCCAGCCTTCCAATATAGTGCTTATGCAAACCTTGTGACATCACGTAACACATGAGGATCAGCATCCTTCAGTAACACAGTAAAGTGCCTGACCCTCATTAGCAATGATATAATCTTGCTATTTAAACACTTGAATCATGTGGGTTAGAAGCAGGCGAAATCAAAGAAACGTGGGCGGATTTGTCACCGTTTCATTTCAGGCCCATACATTTACTTGAACAATTGTGGCCCGGGTAGCCACTTGGTGAGTCACATGGACAAACAGACCAGATGAAAAATCCAGTTGGCTCCCACTGTGTATTTGCACGTGCTACCGGTTTTGTATAATGTCGAATATCTTTGAAAAAATGCCGAACAATATAAACAGCCACGTACGGGATTTTGTTGCGAAATTAACACACTGGCGTCCTGGGGCGGGTGCGAATTTGCCGCCTCCTCAGTAGTACTAGTGTGAACCGGCTAAACATTGTCAATAATCAGCCTTACGATGTCATGATTGTGATGTTCAACTGGGCAGCAAAATCAGCTGAACGTTATTTTCACTGCTGTTGGTGGCTATATTTCGGTAAGCTCTTGTCCGTTGCATGTAAACGTCAGTTTCTGATAAGTTCGCCAAGCTTGGCAGTTTGCTGTCAGGCGTTTTGACGCCAATCATGAAGGCACCATGAATGTGCCGTCGGGCGAGCTAGAAATAGCACCGGAAATCCGTTGCCAAATTTGACGCGCGCTTATATAAATCCATGTACTGGGCATTCACCATTGGAATTTACAAGCATTTTTCCAAACAAACTACCAGTTCACTCTCAGTTTCATCCGGCGTCAATGTTTTATTTGGTTGGAATATTGCTACTTCCTTTTATGTTGTATTCATGTTTGGTAGCGGCTAGCTACTGTCTCATCACGCATTCCCCTAAATTGTTTGGCAGGTCTTGCGCAATCACAACCTTCGCGGCTTACGCTGAAATCCTAAACACCGCAGCAGAGTAGATTCTGACCAATGTAACTTTTAAAGTGCGTCTGCTTATTTACTGTGCGCTGTCCACATTAGTTGAATTGGGAGAAAGGACGTGAGGCTCACTCACTCGTTCGTTATTGATGGTTTACTAGTGTGGGATCCCGGGCAAAGATTGTGAATGCCGTTTGTATGATGGGCGTTTTTAGGCCATAATGTAAACTAATAATTAAGAGTTGGTAGTGCTTCTGGATTCAAATATGAATCATGGCTCTGGATATCCTTACCCAATCAAGTTCACGCCGGAAGTCGACTAGAACATTGAAAGTGGAATTGATTTTAACTTCAATTCACGTCCTGCCCAATATTTTTTCATGTTTATCGTCATAACAATGAAATCCATAATTTTCATGTCTAAAAAGGGGAAATAATTATCGTCTTTATGGACAAATAGGACGACCTACAAGGCATATTTTGTTTGGGTAAATCCGTGGTTGGAATGAACAAACATGATGCGGCCGGATGTAAAGATTTCAATGAGGCGCATTCAACGAACACGACTAGCAAAATTTCCAATGACAAAAGCACAGTTATAACACACTTCAAACTCAGAGGAGCATTCAACAGGTTGTGCAAACGCTGGCCTCCTAACGATTACACATGAGTCAGACGTATGTCCTGTCTGTAGTAGAAAAATACTTGAGGTGCTACATAGACTATGCCTGAGTAGCCCCTTCCTAAAGTAACTACACGCTGCAGAATTTCGTTTTCCGGTACTGCGAGTCAAGTAATCGCTTAGCCGCTAGCTCTGTCAGAGCTAGCTAGTCTCAAAATCGTGGAGTTCTCGTAAAGTAATCCTCGCTAATCTGCAAATCACAATCACAAACCACTCTGTACACTCCGGGATAATGCTTTTAATAAACTAGTTGTTTCTGGTTGGTTGGTAAACAAGCCGAGTCAATCCAGCTGAAATGTACCTTTTTCCATATGGAGAATGACATATCAAACTGATATAAGATTGTTTACTTTATGGTTGCCATAGGGAAGTGTTGGTCTGATGATTTAATTCAGGATGCTCAAAGTCCGTAAGTGTAACGAAGCGCCGTTTTTTGGCTAATAACACGGGGTAGGACGTCCACAGAATCGGTCAGCCGATGATTCAACAAGGAAAACTTGCAACTGCATCAGGCGTTCAAATAATCGGGTTGCTTGTAACACTCTTTGGTCACAGAAATGCGTTCATTTTTTAGTGAGGTTATATGCGACTTGGTGTGGTCGTCCCTGACTACCGACCAGAAATATAAAAACTACTTTGGCGCAATATTGATTTAGAAAGTCTTTGATTGCAGCATTCTTGAAAACAAGCTGAAAGTAATACCCAATAATAACAACAGATTATCGACCCTCCAGTTCATAAGAAGCAGGCAGGACGTTAGAACCAAACAACACTGTACGACCGAATTCGTGGTACGGAATTATTGAGGCTACAAAATCACAGACAGCGATGCAGGTAATCTCCAGATAGTTACACACTACTGAAAGTCGATTCTTTTTAGGGCATCATTAAAGACGTTTAGGGCGATAATCACATTATCGCGACGGACCGGTTAGCCAGTAGAAGTTCACATCACATTTTGACATTTACCATCATAATGACTCAGATAATAACACGAGCTAAATAAATCGAACGCAGGTAAAGGAGGATGAAATTATCCTTGTGGACCTGAAGATTTAAGGCAGAGAAATTAGTGCATTTTAGAATCAGGATGGACCAAATTTGTCAAAGTTAGTAAACAAAATATTACAGATGTTTTAGTTGAGGTGTTGGGAGCGATACTTTAACTGTTTCCCTATGCTTGAAGAAACGTTGAAATTTAATTGTTGATATAAATGCCTAATTTCCCACCGAATAAAGTTTGAAGACGTATTATGCATTGAAAACTGTCTTCCGATATGCTGGTGACGTTTGTGGAATTATCCCAAAGGGGCAATGTAGCTTAGATGCCACTCATACACACCACGCGCTAGCTATGGTGTGCTGCGGGTATAAGTGGCTTTCCCTTGTGCTGTTCTAATTTGCAGTACCGTGGAGTGGCCACTCTCGTAAGGGCAAAACTTTCATGGGTATCTCACCTTTGCTAAATTTTATCAAATATTTTTTCAAGAATACGCTAGTTTCCATATGTAAGCGTTATGCAAAAAGGTGCGTCCCAACTAGATAACTACCGGCACACTCCGCACCAGAATCGATCAGCGGCACCTGGGAGCTATCTCCTAGGAACTCGAGAAGCGAAACGGCTCTTCCAATAATCCCAGCAAAATGCTTCCGTTTGCGGGTGAATTGTGAGAATTACTTGAGGTAGCTCATTCAACAAACCATGAATAACAACACCTAAGCTGATACTGGGCATCCTCTACTCGGGAACTCAAAAACTCACCGTTCTTTGCTAGAAATTATGGTGACTAGGACGACCCTAGCAACTGAT